ATGACCACTGGAGTCATACACCTTAACAGTACCTGCGTGGAAGCAGAGGTTACTTAACATGACCCAGTGGTTAGCCTTGAGATTGACTATTTGGAGGAAACCCCTGGGCCAGTGTTGGTACTGCTGACAACATGGCGATGCCGCCCACCACAAGGAGGCAAATGCAAATAGTTATCATCTGAGATTTTTATATTTGCCTTAATGTATGGTGACCCCAGCTAGGAGCAAAAGAGCAGCAAGATTTCCCAGGTCTCACCTTCCTTTCATCCTTCTTCCAAGCCAAGTCATTCGCCTGGGTGTCGAAGCACTTGGTCCCCTTGATTCTCCTCCGGTGGCTCTCCTTCTGTTTCTCATGCGCCTTGTCCATGTTCAGTCTCACCTTGATTGATAATAGAAATAAATGCAAATATCTCTTCCACATCTCTTGGAGGGCCAGAAAATGAATTAACAAAGGAAAATAATTTGTACCTGGTCAAAAACCTCCACATCCTTCTCAGCCCATGCCTGAAGGTGGTCCTCAAAGGCGTTCTGATCTGGTTTGACAACTTCCATCACATCAGGTGGAGTTTCAGTGATCTCAAAGTACGTTATATACAAAAATAGCAATAGACAAACAACACAAAGTCAATCACAATTTTTTATACTACAGTATATGCAATAATTGCATATACAATTGCATTGTTTACCTCTGTAAACAGCTGCGGTTCCCGTCCATACAGCAGGCAATAGGGTGAGTACTCTGGAGACCTGGAAGCTGCTGTTGTGTGCAAAGATAATTACCTTCAGGTTGTTCTCCAACCATTGCAGGTACCTGTCAAGGGACTTGCACATAGCAGTCTTGAGGGTCTGGTTGGTCCATTCATCCAAACCTGGAATCACCATACATCTACACATTCACATTATATATAACTCACTGTACTATCAGTGTCAATTTCGAAGAAAATAAAACTATAAATTACTGGAGGCCTATGCGAAACAATGTTACAACAATTACATTACTAACCACTAACATGTAAGCTAACATTGACTGAAACCAACTAGCCTAGAGCTAACTAGTGCTTAGCCAAACTACATTTGGTTAGCATCAAGCTAGTGAACTGTTAAACGCTATTTTCGTACAAATATTAACACTAAAACATTTTATTGTGACATCCCATATTTACATATATTACCTAAACTGAGCCTTTGTTCATAGAAAATAAAACAAATAGGATCTAAAACGTTGTTGAATTTTTTTTACAGAAAGTTCGGATGCCATCTTAATCCCTTCTCTTACATGTAAACCATTAGCAACCTAGCCAATCTCCATTACATACAATGGGGAAGATACAACCAGTTTTTTTACTCGGTTAAAACTCCCTTCAATTGCCTTCAAACATCACCAAACACATGGACTATGTAGTTAACCATGTTACCTCAATATTTTGAGAGTCATATTGCACTTTTGCACATTACATACCTGAATTAATAGGGTAAAATGATGAGACGGAAAAACGTTCGTTTTCAGTAGTAGGCATTCTACAAGATTGAAGAAGAAACCTCCAAGATCTCACTAACGCACTCTATTGACGTCACAGCTCCACTTGCAGCAGTAATCATATACATTACTTAAATGTAAATACCTGGGAGGCCTAGAAAATTATACAAGGGATGGCTCCATAAAGTAACAAATGAAACAAAACATCAAAAATATAACCATACATATGTGTGTGTCAAAAATATACACATGGCATATGCTTGGGTACCACCTTGACATCTCTGATCTGCTTGCCTAAATAAATTAATGCTAGAACATTGGTAGCCAGGATTAGCTATTTGTATCCAGACTCTTAATAATTGCATAACGGTGCAAGTTAGACACATGTCTTTTTTTGTCAGTCCTGTCAATGTTGAGTGATCACACATACCTCAGCACACATAGGTTACTTTGCCTGCTTGCAAATGTGTGCTAAATGTGGGGACGTTTCATAGTATTTGTGATTATCTTAACTACCCATCCCCAAAGAACATATATATATTTTACAGAAAACCACGGAACCACCACTGCAATTTAGGCCTACACTCAGAAAAAATCTTCAACCTAAAAGGATTATTCCGCTGTCCCCATAGGAGAACCATTTTTGGTTCCAGATAGAACCCTTCTGTGCCTAGGTAGAATCGTTTTGGGCTCCATTCTACAGAGGGTTCTACATGGAACCAAAAAGATTTCTACCTGGAAGCAAAAAGGGTTCTCCTTTGGTGACAGCCAAAGAACCCTGTTGGAACCCCTTTCTCAAAGAGTATACTCAACAAGTTTAGCCTGTTAAGTTTACACCATTTCATTCTGTACTCAAACATCTGCCTGGTATTCAAGATAACACGCAACATAGCACCACCACCTTTGAAGGTTTTTGTCAACCTCTGCTCAGACTTAAATAGCAGTGTTCCAAGAACCTCCACCAGGGGTGACTGTAGTATCCTCAAACGGACAAAAAGGAGACACAAGAGGGCACCCCACACTCATTTCAGATCCCAAGGGGTCTTTATTTTCATACTGTAGTTTGTTTGACATTGCCATAGTTCAACAGCTGAAAAGCCTTCATTAACATACTCCCAGAGATAGCAAGACATTCAGTATTCACTGAATTAAGTAGCCTACCCAACCCCATTTACAATTTCATTCATCAATGAAATAAAATCTACTATAGCACATTCAATTACATTATTATTGTAGACTATAGGCTACTCCTGTATCTAACTGGTACAATACCATAATCATTGAATTTACAATTTCATTTATCAGTTAAATAAATAATACTAGCACATACAGTTACATTATTGTCGAATAGGCTACTCCTGTATCTGTACTATATTAGGATACCATTATGATTTCATTGGTCTTGTCAGGCATGATTTTAGGTCTTTGATCGAAGTTGAATATTGTCCCTCGTTTCCCTTCTTCAGTGAAAAGTAGTCATGCATCCCCCATTCAATTCAGTTCGAGTGTGAATGTGTAGGCCTAGTGACAGTGGAAAAATAAACCCATAGCTCCAGCACACAATGGCATGTAGGGGTAGTATATTACAATGTAAAATATGTATATATCCTATAGCACCATGTGTGTATATTTTCATTTACAATTTAATTAATCCATTAAATAAATAATACTAGCACATCAAATTACATTATTATTGTACACTAGCCTACTCCCCTATCTATACAGTAAATAATATTGCCTACGTGCTTTCGACAATATGCTATCAACAAAAAGTAATTATTTTCAAATAAACAAAATTTGCCTCAACACAGTAGGCCTAAATATTTCCTAATGATATCACAACTTAAATATAGCCTACTTACTCCTCAATCGGATCAAGGACATCTTGGTAATTATTTTCATAGTTTCTAAGGAAACCATCTGGGGCAGACACTCTCGAAAATCAAGTCTTCCGCTTGTAAAAAAACAAACAAATGAATGTCTGTGTCACCACCGAGCTCTCAAATACCTTGCCTGTTTCTCACTCTATGAACGGCCACTGCTATCCGGATTCCTTGCGATGTCCCTACTCTTCCTTGGGACATCCCTACCCTAAGCCACACACAACTCTTATTGGTTGTCTGATGTAGGGTATTGGGAACTGGTAACAACACAGTCTGTGATTGGCTAACAACATTTAGATCTGTATACAGCAAGATAAGATAACATACCATCCCATGAGGTGTTGAGGGAAAGACAGATTACCTATAGATTGGACATAGTCTTTTCTAGGCAGTGTTGCCAACTTAGCGACTTTGTAGCTATATTTAGTGAGTTTTCAGACCCCTCTAGCGACACATTTTCAAAAAAGCGACTAGCGACAAATCTAGCGACTTTTTCTGGTGTTATTGGAGACTATGACGTGAAAGCACGTATCGTTCTTACTTTTCTCAACGAGCAGCGGGTGCTGCCATGGGCCCCACCCCCGTCCCAAAGTACTCACAGGCGGCCCAGTCCTCGCGCAGCAGTCCCTCCCAGCTGCAGTCAGCAGGAGATGTTAACCCCTCCATGTCCAGACTGCAAAAGAATCACGCATGCGGGAAGCCGCCGCTGGCTGATCCCGCCCTGGCTTACATTCAGGGCAGGATGTAAATGTAGGGTGTTTTTTACTCACTTTTTGTCTCTCCCACGACGTTATTCCTCTCTCCTACAGCATCCATCACAATTACATGCCCATGGCAATTATGCAAATTAGGTGATGATGTCATTTAGCGACTTCTAGCGACTTTTAGGACAGCCAATAGCTACTTTCCTTACTGAGGAGTTGGCAACACTGTTTCTAGGCCATTAGTGATAACAGGAAATACACAAGCCGTAAGCTACACTATAGCTTAAGGTGGCTACATCGGAAGGTCAGCTTGCACTGGAAAAACAGTACATTCCTAACATTTATGGTTGAGATTTAATTAATAAAATAAAACGCAGGCGTCACACAGACGTTAGTAAGGCGTTGGTATGACAACATGTTAGTTACACATTCAATGGTAGGCGACAGCCACAAGGTGGACTGTTGCCTAGGTTTATTAACAAGCAGGAGTCACGCAGATGTTAGTAAGGCGTTGGTATCATGTCAGACGTGGTACGGTTGCGTAGGCTTAATTCTGGCACTTATCACCCCCCATAAGGATGCTGTCTCAACGTGCTCACACACCCCCTCCGGCGCTCCCCACCACTCACTCACTCAGCAACAACTTGCATCACTGCCTGACAGTTAGCAGCAGGTCACAGTGGTATATATATATATATATATATATATATATATATATATATATATATTATTATTATTATTATTATTATATATATTTTTTAAGATAAATGCCATGGCGGCGGCGGTGCAACTTAGAAATAACCCCAAAACATGCAACCCGCGATCAATACATTTTTACCGGCAACATCGTTTTCAAAGTTCAATTTGTGTGAAACCTGCAAACATTGCCTATGCCCAGTGCGCATGCGGGTGGAGCGAGTCTTCTCGTGATGACGGCTAACGTTAGCTAGCGCTGTAATCCGAACGGGGGAGTTCAGGAACGCTGTGGAATAGACGTATCGAGCTAGCGACTTATTGCTTACTGAAATTATTTCACGGTTATAGGGAATCCGTAAACAACTGGTATACTAAACAACTTGTTTGGTAAGTCATTGAATTCGTGTTATAGGACTATGTTTGCATGTTTTCCTCGCAGGCCTTCTTCAGGCTAGTTTGCATAGCTAGCAAGCTAGCTAGTAGTAGCTAGCTACTTCTTGATGTTTGAACACGAATGGTCCTCAGTGATTGTACCTGTTTGCTGCCGCAACTGGCCTACCACGGCAACATTTGTGTAGGTATTCCCATAAAGTTGTCCCGCCGTAGCGCGATGTTTGGCTAGTACAGGACTAGTACTGCCAACATTTAAAGTTAGCTAGCTAACTAGATCGCTAGTTACGTAACTTAGATAGCTATCAACAACGATCGTTAAGTTAGCTAACGCGTTAACTATCCTCTCGATAGCTTGATATTTTGATTGTGAATTTTGATTGTTATCTAGTTACCAGTAGGTAGCTAGATAGTTAACGTTACCTACCTAACCAATGCTTGCTATCTCACTGCTCATGTTTGCCAGCATCATGATAGCAAACTAGCTGTTTACTACATAACTAACGTTAACTAGGTGGCACCGTTGGGCTGTTGTAAACAGCTAGCTTGCTATCATAATGCTGGCAAATATTAGCAGTGAGATGCTAACAAACGGAATTGGTTAGCTAGCTAAACCTAAAATTCCGCAATATGTCGACTGTGTTGCAACTGAGAGTGAACAAGACTAGGGCCTTGACAAATCATAGGATTGGCGAGTTTGTAACTACCTCGATATTAGTTATCATATAGTAAAACATAAAGAAACAGACCAAATCCAAAATGGTCTGTAGCTACTGTTTTCTAATTTAAGGGTGACAAAGAGGGGCTGTTATATATAAGTTATGGTTCTTGGCTGCTAGGCAGCTACAGTCTTATCTCACTTACCCCGGTCCCTCTCACGAACCTGCCAAATCATGTCTCTCTTCAGACAGCTGCATGGCTGGCACAAACGGTGGTCTCCCCTTTCTTTACCCACCTGATCCCCTAGTTAAGTGTACAGTTGAGCCCCACCCACTGAAGGGGCCATGACTCTCCAAAACAAATCGACCCTCATGAATGTAGGGCAGTATGATGAACCATAGAAAACTTCAGGCATGTGTTTATCAAGAGGGGCTCAAATGTTTTTAAAACAGGATGGTCACAATAATTTATGTTGATTCAGGGATGCACTTGACATTTTGATTAGGTCAATTGTTAGAGCCAAAACATAAATGCATCTCAATTCCTGCAAATGAGGAGAAGTGTGCTCCAAGCTTCTTTGATTTATTCTTGAGTTATAGTAATCTACCAGAAATTGGATATTACATTGAATCTCAACTGCCTCTGCAGTACTAGTAAGTGTTGTTTCGAGGCAAGGTTAAACAGTCTTTGTTTTGGCAAGGTTAGGAAGTTGAACACTCCAGAGGATTAGGATGTCTCATTCAGCGTTGAAGTGCACTGTCTGGCTTTGTCTTCTTGGCAGGCAGCATTTCGACCTACATTTATCAAAATAAGATTTGGAGCATAAATATGTCAGTAAAGGTGTTGATTTAGGCCTATATAATTTCTCCTTTCACTATATTTGGAAGCTACTCCTTTGCTCCCACCTTTGATCTTGAAGTCTCTCTAGATAGTTCATGCTAGCACTGCTCTTAACTACAGAATGCCCCTCTTTGGTTATGGTGTTTGTAAGAGGAAGCATTTACTCATTTGTCATCCCTGGGCTCAGATAGCCTAACTCAAGGTTGTAGGCATTGATGACAGGACTGCACTGCATTATTGTGAACATGGTTGGGAAAGCAGAAGAGCTAGCCCAAGCATCGGAATTACTCTCAAATTGAAACTAGTGACTGAAAACAGCAAAATTGCACTTATAATGCTACACAGCATTTTCCCCCAACATTGCCCCTCCTCTCAGTGCCCAGGGAGACACCAGTGTAAGTGCCATTCCCTCTACCCCTCCATCCCAGAATCAATAATCTGAACATAAACATGCTGAGCCTCCTCCTCAGGGTACACCAGTTGAGCATATTGTGTACATGGCACGTGTACTGTTATACAGGAGGCCTTGCTCAATAAAGAAAACGGTTGTAGGACAGTATGTCTAACAGTATGAATAACAACAAAAAAATCCAGAAAAACGAATGTCAAAAATGTTATAAATTGATTTGCATTTTAATGAGGGAAATAAGTATTTGACCCCTCTGCAAAACATTACTTAGTACTTGGTGGCAAAACCCTTGTTGGCAATCACAGAGGTCAGACATTTCTTGTAGTTGGCCACCAGGTTTGCACACATCTCAGGAGGGATTTTGTTCCACTCCTCTTTGCAGATCTTCTCCAAGTCATTAAGGTTTCGAGGCTGACGTTTGGCAACTCAAACCTTCAGCTCCCTCCACAGATTTTATATGGGATTGAGGTCTGGAGACTGGCTAGGCCACTCCAGGACCTTAATGTGCTTCTTCTTGAGCCACTCCTTTGTTGCCTTGGCCGTGTGTTTTGGGTCATTGTCATGCTGGAATACCCATCCACAACCCATTTTTAATGCCCTGTCTGAGGGAAGGTTTTGACGGTACATGGCCCCGTCCGTCGTCCCTTTGATGCGGTGAAATTGTCCTGTCCCCTTAGCAGAAAAACACCCCCAAAGCATAATTTTCCACCTCTATGTTTGACGGTGGGGATGGTGTTTTTGGGGTCATAGGCAGCATTCCTCCTCCTTCAAACACGGCGAGTTGAGTTGATGCCAAAGAGCTCGATTTTGGTCTCATCTGACCACAACACTTTCACCCAGTTCTCCTCTGAATCATTCAGATGTTCATTGGCAAACTTCAGACGGCCCTGTATATGTGCTTTCTTGAGCAGGGGGACCTTGCGGGCGCTGCAGGATTTCAGTCCTTCACGGCGTAGTGTGTTACCAATTGTTTTCTTGGTGACTATGGTCCCAGCTGCCTTGAGATCATTGACAAGATCCTCCCGTGTAGTTCTGGGCTGATTCCTCACCGTTCTCATGATCATTGCAACTCCACGAGGTGAGATCTTGCATGGAGCCCCAGGCCGAGGGAGATTGACAGTTATTTTGTGTTTCTTCCATTTGCGAATAATCGCACCAACTGTTGTCACCTTCTCACCAAGCTGCTTGGCGATGGTCTTGTAGCCCATTCCAGCCTTGTGTAGGTCTACAATCTTGTCCCTGACATCCTTGGAGAGGTCTTTGGTCTTGCCCATGGTGGAGAGTTTGGAATCTGATTGATTGATTGCTTCTGTGGACAGGTGTCTTTTATACAGGTAACAAGCTGTGATTAGGAGCACTCCCTTTAAGTGTGCTCCTAATCTCAGCTTGTTACCTGTATAAAAGACGCCTGGGAGCCAGAAATCTTTCTGATTGAGAGGGGGTCAAATACCTATTTCCCTCATTAAAATGCAAATCAATTTAACATTTTTTACATGCGTTTTTCTGGATTTTTGTTGTTGTTGTTCTGTCTCTCACTGTTCAAATAAACCTACCATTAAAATTATAGACTGATAATTTCTTTGTCAGTGGGCAAACGTACAAAATCAGCAGCGGATCAAATACTTTTTTCCCTCACTGTAGGCCTAGGCCTACTAGATGTGACAAACAACCTCTGTGGGGAACTCATGAGTGAAAGAGACAGGGACGCTTCTGTGATGTAGCCTAGGCCTAGTGAATCATTTCTCAGATCCATGTTCTGACTGAAGTACTTCACTCTCAGCTACCCTGCTCACCCTGATTTCATTTTCATATTTTTAGTTTCCTAATCATCTAAGACCGAATATCTGACTATCCTATGTTGTCAATTGGATAGGGTGGCGGTGGGGCCAGATTGCTGGAATAGGCTGGGTAGAGTTTTGCTTTGTCTCTGCGGTGTGTGAGTTCATTCTGAGAGGATGGGGGGATTGTAGGGAGGTGCAGCGTGCACCCCAAGGCAATGCACACAGGAGCTGGTAAAATGTCTGCAGTCCAACGGAAGAAGGCCTGACGAGTTTCAAAGGGAGACAGCCCTAGATGCTGCGACTCAGCAGAGGTGTGATGTACAGTACCACAGATTATGGTGTACTGGAGTCGTTAATTTACTCATGCAAACAGTCCTACTTGATCTGATGTGGAGGGGAAGTGAAAAGGGGACTTTGTCTGAGTTTCGAGTGCCTTTAGAAAGCACTTCGTTCTGTTGGCCTGTGTTGCATGTTCAACTGAGGGGATGTTTGGGCTGTGTTCCAAACACCTCCACAACTCTGCTGTGTGGTGAGCTGCGTCACTGGTTCAGGTGCTTTTATGGTGTTTTGATCAGATGGATGGTGTGCTTCACAACCCTTCCTTGTTCTGAGCCTAAGTATCATGTACAGCGGGTTGGGATGGCTTTGGACTGAGAATTCTATTTCTAGCCTACCTACTGGTAACTACTGTCATTCTTTCTCACACATCCCCCACCTGTGCCATTCCCCACCACATACAGTGGTTTTTCTTCTGCTTTTGAGTTCTCCTTCCTTTTCCATTACTTACTCAGTAGGTACAGTGCATTCGGAAAGTATTCAAACCCCTTGACTTTTTCCTCATTTTGTTACGTTTACAGCCTTATTCTAAAATGTATTAAATATTTTTTTTCTCATCAATCTACATACGATACCCCATAATGACAAAGCGGGAGCAGGTTTTAAGTTTTTTTGTAAATGTATTAAATAACTATTCAGAGCCTTTGCTATGAGACTCGAAATTGAGCTCAGGTGCATCCTGTTTCCATTGATCATCCTTAAGATGTTTCTACAACTTGATTGGAGTCCACCTGTGGTAAATTCAATTGATTGGACATGATTTGGAAAGGCACACACCTGTCTATAGAAGGTCCCACAGTTGACAGTGCATGTCAGAGCAAAAACCAAGCCATGAGTTCGAAGGAATTGTCCATAGAGCTCCGAGACAGGATTGTGTCGAGGCACAGATCTGTGGAAGGGTACCAAAACATTTCTGCAGCATTGAAGGTCCCCAAGAACACAGTGGCCTCCATCATTCTTAAATGGAAGAAGTTTGGAACCACCAATACTCTTCCTAGAGCTGGCCACCCGGCCAAACTGAGCAATCAACGGAGAAGGGCCTTGGTCAGGGAGGTGACCAAGAACCCAATGGTCACTCTGACAGAGCTCCAGAGTTCCTCTGTGGAGATGGGAGAACCTTCCAGAAGGACAACCATCTCTGCAGCACTCCACCAATCAGGCCTTTATGGTAGAGTAGCCAGACGGAAGCCACTCCTCAGTAAAAGCCACATGACAGGCTGCTTGGAGTTTGCCAACAGGCACCTAAAGGACTGTCAGACCATGAGGATTCTCTGGTCTGACGAAACCAAGTGTCACGTCTGGAGGAAACCTGGCACCATCCCTACGGTGAAGCATGGTGGTGGCAGCATCATGCTGTGGGGATGTTTTTCAGCGGCAGGGACTGGGAGACTAGTCAGGATCGAGGGAAAGATGAATGGAGCAAAGTACAGAAAGATCCTTGATGAAAACCTGCTCCAGAGTGCTCAGGACCTCAGACTGAGGTGAAGGTTCACCTTCCAACAGGACAACGACCCTAAGCACACAGCCAAGACAACGCAGGAGTGGCTTCGGGACAAGTCTCTGAATGTCCTTGAGTGGCCCAGCCAGAGCCCGATCAAACATCTCTGGAGAGACCTGAAAATAGCTGTGCAGCGACACTCCCCATCCAACCTGACAGAGCTTGAGAGGATCTGCAGAGAAGAATAGGAGCAACTCCCCAAATACAGGTGTGCCAAGCTTGTAGCGTCTTACCCAAGAAGACTTGAGGCTGTAATCTCTGCTAAAGGTGCTTCAACAAAGTACTGAGTAAAGGGTCTGAATACTTATGTAAATGTGATATTTCAGTTTTGTATTTTTCATACATACTAAAAACCTGTTATTGCTTTGTCATTATGGGGTATTGTGTGTAGATTTATTTTAATCAATTTTAGAATACTGCTGTAACAACGTGGAAAAGTCAAGGGGTCTGAAAACCTTCCGAATGCAGTGTAGGTCTACTCAACAAATCTCTAACGCAGAAATGGCTTTACTACCAGTACCAGGCCACAGGTCCTACAGTACCACCTGTCTGTCGGCCCTAGACCTACACCCCTTCTCTTCCCTGCAGGACTGTGACAAATGTAGTCTTCTCTTTCAAGAGAATACGGCACATGCATCATCTCATGGACAAGTATACTAGTCGTTCATGAATCTATTGATTAACCTTGGATTTAGCCTACTAAAGGAACAGAGACTGCCTTGTGTATTACCAATGATGATAACCTTGCTTATCTGGCATGTTAAGAAAATGCTTCTTAGCATCTTCACAATATTTAGGCCTCAAACCACATATACATTTATTCTGTTTAATAGTATCAAGCATTTGCACTTGTGTGTTACTAGCTAGCAGGCTGTGTCCTCTGATAGCCGTAGGCCTCTGTCTGAGGCAGGGTTCTCTGGGGCGCTCTCACGGGCCTCCCAGCCTTACAATCTTGTCTGTTTTCCTCGGTAGCAGCCATCCACAAGGAGCCTTTTGTGTCATAGAATGCTCCAGGAAATCATTTACATTTCATGCGTTCTGTCTGGTTTGTGTTTGTGTATGTGTGTGAAGAAAAGGGGATTTGCATATTCTCTTGTGCTGTGAATAATGCTACCAGACGCTTGTGTGCACAAGAGTAGGAGTTTGCAATTGTTTAAAGGCCATCCCAGTATGGGGCCAGCTGTTGAATATGGCTTGAAGCCTCCCCCCTTCTCTCTTTGCTATGCATCCACAGGAAACAGGGCCTTTCCTGCTCTTCATTTGGATTCCTCTCTGAGATATAGAAATGATACATTGTCCACGCTTATAAATCTACTCCAAACTGCCCTGTATGTAGCTCTGTCCTGAATGTCTAGGACTCATTCTCCCAGTGTGACTGATCCCCCTTTTCTCTCATTATTCTACAGTCCTTTGCCTCTCTGCGTGAGCTGGTAAAGATGGTGAAGCCAGACATCCACACTCTGGCCCATCACCTGAAGCAGGAGCGGCTGTATGTGGCCTCAGAGAAGCAGCTGATCCAGCGGCTCAATGGGGACGTGCTGAAGACTGCTGAGAGGCTGTACCGTGCTGCCTGGATCACCAAGCAGCAGAGGATCAACCTTGACCGTCTCATCCTCACCAGGTCAGCATGGGGCCCCCACAGCTACTGTTACACCAGTGCACCTCATTGACATTGATCCAATAGTAGAATAGAAACTGTTCTAATAGGAACTCTCCATTAATGGGCAATTTAAATATATTTGACCTTTAGTGAACTAGTAACTTAGTAGTCCTGAAGTAGGATCCCACAGTATTAAACTGTCTTATCTTCCTGATGTGATCATCTTATTTGTGGTAGATCCTGCCAAATACAAACACGGTGCATGCCAGAGCCAGCTGAGTACTATTTAGATTAGCAGGTCAAAATGGAAATTGCAAGGAATCAGAGGAGTCCTGTGATCAGCAAGAATGTCATACAATTACATGTCACTCCAACAACTAATCAACAGCCCATTGTGGCCCACTGTTGCCCATTTCCAGCCGCTGGTTTGTGGAGCCTTCTGCTCTTGTAATTAAAGCTCTCTTTCCTACAGTGCTGAGGCTTCCCCGGCCGAATGCTGCCAACATGCCAAAGTGCTGGAGGACACACAGTTCCTGGACGGCTACAAGACTCTGGGCTTCCAGGAGACCATCTATGGGGAGTTCCTTGGCCGGGTGCGGGAGAATCCACGGCTGGTGGCCTCCTGCCTGGTGGCTGGGGAGAGGCTGAACCAGGAGCACACACAGGGGGTCATTTACACTGTCTTTACCTCACTCTACGGCAACTGTATCATGCAGGAGGATGAGAGCTACCTGCTGCAGGTGAGCAGCCCGGACCTCTTCTGATTTATACACTTGTACTATAAACATGCTAGTCACACACAGCCAATAGTCAGTTGCACTCACCAAATGCACAACAGCCACCTGTTACTAATACTGTTACATATCCCCATAGGCAGTGTGATCAGGCAGTTAGTTTCTAACCTCTGCACAGCTAAAGCTGATGGTAACACTGCTGCTGTTTCTATCAATTCCAGGTCCTCCGCTACTTGGTGGAGTTTGAGCTGAAGGAGAGCGACAACCCTCGGAGGCTGCTGCGTCGAGGCACGTGTGCCTTCAGCATCCTCTTCAAGCTCTTCTCTGAGGGGCTGTACTCAGCCAAGCTCTTCCTCACTGCCACCCTCCACGAGCCCATCATGCAGCTGCTGGTGGAGGACGAGGACCACCTGGAGACGGACCCCTCCAAGGTGACTGAGCGCTTCACGCCGGCCCAGCAGGAGCGCCTGTTTGGGGAGAAGGGCTCAGAGGGCTACAGGCAGAAGGTGGCGGCTGCTGTGGAGGCCAACGAGGCCAAGCTGGTGACCCTGGTCAACAAGTTCATCGGCTACCTGAAGCAGAACACCTACTGCTTCCCCCACAACCTGCGCTGGATTGTGTCTCAGATGTACAAGACGCTGTCGTGCGTGGAGAGGCTGGAGGTGGGTGAGGTGCGGACCATGTGCACAGACCTGCTGCTCACCTGCTTCATCTGCCCAGCCATAGTCAACCCTGAGCAGTATGGCATAATCTCAGATGCCCCTATCAACGAGGTGGCCCGCTTCAACCTCATGCAGGTCAGTGGACGACCCAACAGACTCATACATCCACACTACTCTTATATTGACGGCTTATTGACAGTTTATTGAGTACGAATCCTGTTTTAACTGTTAGATAATAAGTCAAAATATTGTTACCTTACTTTCCCTTGTATGTATCCTAATCATTATCTTTGTCCTGTAGGTAGGGCAGCTTCTTCAACAGTTGGCAATGGCTGACGATGATGGAGACCCCAGGAGGAAAAACAGTTTGGCCAAGTTCGATAAGGTAAGATCCTCAAACACACATCTTAATATGGAACCAGTTTGCCCATGGGGTAGCTTTTATTACATTCTTAATACATGTTTTGCTTCTTGCCTTATTATTGAAGTTGACTGTCTGGTTGTGTCATCTCAGAGCTGCGTAGCTGCCTTCCTGGATGTGGTAATCGGAGGGAGAGCTGTGGAGACACCGCCCATGTCCTCCATGAACCTACTTGAAGGCCTTAGCAGGACTGTGGCGTACATGACACACAGTCAGCTGCTCTGCCTGGTACGCTGCTGATCTGACTGAATGTTATATGGGTTATATATTATAGTTAGCTTAGCCTACGAAGTGTATACACCCATGTTTTATACAGGCAGCAGTAGAGATTTCTATGTTACAGAAAATGTACTTGACATGCCCAGACTTGTCAGACCAGAAAGAGAGACATTTCACACATGTTGTTGAGAGTGCTGTTCTGTTTTAAGGACTGGGATTAGGGTTGCACAATACTGGTAACTTTCCCAAAATTCCCAGGTTTTCCAGAAATATGGTTTGTAAAATTCCAGGAATCAAGAGTGAATAAGCAGGAGCCCTAACTGGGCTATACTGCAACCCTAACTGGGCTGTACTGCAACCCTAACTGGGCTGTACTGCAACCCTAACTGGGCTGTACTGCAACCCTAACTGGGCTATACTGCAACCCTAACTGGGATGTACCATACTCAAGTATACAAAGTATTCTCACATATTCCTGGAGTTACAGTACAGTGGCTCCTCCCTTAGCTACCTTTCCTTATAACAGTAGTGTGATAAGCAACAATTACCTTAGCTGTATTCTGCATATTAGCATGTCTCAAGCTCCACTTTTAGTTTAATCGTGAAGCAGAGCCCTGTACTTATCACCCGTGGCATAAGTTCTCCACCAGCTTACAGTGGGGGAAAAAAGTATTTAGTCAGCCACCAATTGTGCAAGTTCTCCCACTTAAAAAGATGAGAGAGGCCTGTAATTTTCATCATAGGTACACGTCAACTATGACAGACAAAATGAGGAAAAGAAATCCAGAAAATCACATTGTAGGATTTTTAATGAATTTATTTGCAAATTATGGTGGAAAATAAGTATTTGGTCAACTACAAACAAGCAAGATCTCTGGCTCTCACAGACCTGTAACTTCTTCTTTAAGAGGCTCCTCTGTCCTCTACTCGTTACCTGTATTAATGGCACCTGTTTGAACTTGTTATCAGTATAAACGACACCTGTCCACAACCTCAAACAGTCACACTCCAAACTCCACTATGGCCAAGACCAAAGAGCTGTCAAAGGACACCAGAAACAAAATTGTAGACCTGCACCAGGCTGGGAAGACTGAATCCGCAATAGGTAAGCAGCTTGGTTTGAAGAAATCAACTGTGGGAGCAATTATTAGGAAATGGAAGAAATAAAAGACCACTGATAATCTCCCTCGATCTGGGGCTCCACGCAAGATCTCTTCCCGTGGGGTCAAAATGATCACAAGAACGGTGAGCAAAAATCCCAGAACCACACGGGGGGACCTAGTGAATGACCTGCAGAGAGCTGGAAGCAAAGTAACAAAGCCTACCATCAGTAACACACTACGCCGCCAGGGACTCAAATCCTGGAGTGCCAGACGTGTCCCCCTGCTTAAGCCAGTACATGTCCAGGCCCGTCTGAAGTTTGCTAGAGTGCATTTGGATGATCCAGAAGAGGATTGGGAGAATGTCATATGGTCAGATGAAACCAAAATAGGACTTTCTGGTAAAAACTCAACTCGTCGTGTTTGGAGGACAAAGAATGCTGAGTTGCATCCAAAGAACACCATACCTACTGGGAAGCATGGGGGTGGAAACATCATGCTTTGGGGCTGTTTTTCTGCAAAGGGACCAGGACGACTGATCCGTGTAAAGGAAAGAATGAATGGGGCCATGTATCATGAGATTTTGAGTGAAAACCTCCTTCCATCAGCAAGGGCATTGAAGATGAAACGTGGCTGGGTCTTTCAGCATGACAATGATCCCAAACACACCGCCCGGGCAACAAAGGAGTGGCTTCGTAAGAAGCATTTCAAGGTCCTGGAGTGGCCTAGCCAGTCTCCAGATCTCAACCCCATAGAACATCTTTGGAGGGAGTTGAAAGTCTGTGTTGCCCAGCGACAGCCCCAAAACATCACTGCTCTAGAGGAGATCTGCATGGAGGAATGGGCCAAAATACCAGCAACAGTGTGTGAAAACCTTGTGAAGACTTACAGAAAACGTTTGACCTGTGTCATTGCCAACAAAGGGTATATAACAAAGTATTGAGAAACTTTTGTTATTGGCCAAATACTTATTTTCCACCATAATTTGCTAATAAATTCATTAAAAATCCTACAATGTGATTTTCTGGATTTTTTTCCCTCATTTTGTCTTAGTTGACGTGTACCTATGATGAAAATTACAGGCCTCTCATCTTTTTAAGTGGGAGAACTTGCACAATTGGTGGCTGACTAAATACTTTTTTTCCCCACTGTAGCTATTCATGCATTATTAACAACATCATTATTAGGTTCCACATAGAGACTAGGATGTGAGAGAATTAAATCATATTGTTTTCAGGTGGACTTTGTACGGAGTGTGATGGCATGGGACCACCTCCGGGAGGAGGAGCACATGCTCCTGGAGACCCTAATGGCCAATGTGCCCCAGTCCCGCACGGTGAAGAGCAACAGTCTGGAGCTCACCCCCTCCAACACCCCCCAGCTCTCCCCAGCCACCACCCCCGCCAACAAGAAGAACAGGAACTTAGGTACCTACCTTCCTCCTCAGCCTCCACTATTGTTACTGTTACTGTACACCTGCAGCCACTGGCTTTCTGACAGATAGAATTACATACTGCTTAATGATGTACGTTGTTCATCTCCAGTACTTGTCATTCCCATTATAGGATGTCTTTTCAATAGTGTATTTCGCTGTAACTGATGGCACCAGTTGGAGAGTTCAGTTTGAAACTTCACTGAAACCAGCCTTACTGTATTTATATACTAACTATAGGTTGTTTCTTTCATGGTAATAAATAACCAGGTAGCTGGAGTTGTAATGGCTGCCTTAGAAAGCCCCTGTTATATAGGAAGCTAATGAGGTTCTGGGACTGTTATACAGGTAATTAGCAGCTTCTAGATTGGAGCGCCATTACAGAAATGACAACCAATTAAATGACCAAATATAAATGAACCCTTTTTAATTGGTATGGATGGAGAAATGTACACCTTCCTCCGTCATTCGAAATACATTAATTAAATGTGAAGGCACAACATCTTCCACCATGAAATAAGCCACTTCAAGCTGCCCTAAAATATGAACCTTTTAGTCAGATTTTAAACTGTTTTATACTGTTGCTACTCAATATTTGCCTTGTATACTCTTTCACCTTCAACCTTCTTCCTTCCTCCTTTGCTGCCTGTGAACAACCAGGACAACAGTTAGCAACGTCCTGGGACTCCACAACCACAACCCTGTCTGCTCACATTCCATTAGTTACCCCTTTTGGTAGGTAGCCTGCCAGCCCTGTGAGGCTGACTAGAACTAAAGCGTGTGTTTGTGCCACTGCCAGTCATAAACATACAGTACCAGCCATGCTTATAGCCATGTAGCTGCAGTCCCACTGCTTCACCACCAGATAGAGCTAGATGTGCTCGTGTCCATGTTGTTTTCACCATGCCTGCTTCGCCCTGTGCTCTCGTGTTGTTGACATCGTTTATACCTGGTTGTCTGCTGAATGTTTTCAGCTTTTGGCTAAAGAGAGATTGGAGTTGCTGATGTTGGGATCTTGCATCCCTCTGTTTGAAAGCAATGCATGATAACCATACAGAGCACAATGTAGGAACAGATTGTCATCCTGTAGAAATCCATCAGGTCAGTCATTAGAATGGTATGCATGCCATGTGCAGATTGTGATGAGTATGGCTCCTTCACTGCATTTGGCATGCACTTGTGATTTGTGAACCTTATTTGATGCACTCATTGACCTGTATTACACTCTACAGGTTACACAGCACAGGTTATGTAAGCAGGGCCTAGCAAAATATTCAGTCTCTATTAGGATAGATTAATTGATTTAATGATTAAATGTGAGATATGAGTACAATCTTTCTGTTCACTGCAATACCTCTTTCACAATGCAAAACTGAAAGGTTGGGAGCAACTAACAGGTTGGGAGCAATTTACAGGTAATCTAACTAGCAAAGCAGTCTGTATGTGTATAGATGGGTGTTTGTACATTCGGTTGTTTTATAGTTAGTATATAGCCTGCTTTTTGCTTTTATTGTTATAATTGAAACCGATCCCAGTCTTTTGCACACTCTGAATTTCTGTTAATAAGTGAATATTACAGAGTAACTCCTCGTCCCCTGCTAACCCTGAATCTGTTAGTTAGCCTCATCCCCTGTCTGTCGCTCTGCTCCCCCAGCAGCCTCCCGCAGTCGCAGCCGTACTGAGCTGGCCCAGCAGGGGGAGGCAGAGGCCAGCTCTTTGGAGTCTCTGCAGGAGGTGATGCCAGAAGAGGTGCTGGTGATCTCGCTAGGAAGCAGCCCGCAGACCATCCCCGGCATGATGTCAGAAAATGAGGTAACTAAGGAGCCTGGAACATGAAGATTAGTTCATAATGCAGATGTGCTGTAATACAATTCCACACAACAGTGGAAATGTAAAGATCAATTACTCTTACTTAACAGATATATTTGTCATTATTGGAAGCCCACATTAAGCGCCAGGATGGCAGTAACCAGTGCTGTTCTCTCTCAGGTGTTGACCATGCAGCAGACTGATGGGGCACAAGGGTTCACTCCTGCAGATGACACCAAGCACCATTGCAAACCAGACAAAACCCTGCGTTTCTCCCTCTGCAGTGACAACCTGGAGGGTATCTCAGAGGGTCAGTGTGCTAACAGCCCACATACCCTGCTCACTCAACAGAATGTGTTCAATGTTTGACCATGGAATTAGGTTTATAATAGCTGTTAGTTATTACAGTTTATCTGTTCTTATGTAAACAACAGTAACTGTTCATGTACCACAAAAAGAGGATTCAAAAGAGGACTTTGTGTAATCTGATGCATTGTAGTTAGAAATGTCAAAATGTAATTGTTTTCTTTGCACAGGTCCGTCCAACCGGTCTAACTCTGTGTCGTCACTGGACCTGGAGGGAGAGTCTGTGTCAGAGCTGGGAGCTGGGCCATCAGGAAGCAATGGGGTGGAGGCTCTACAACTGCTGGAGCATGAACATGGTGTGTTGTGTGTTGTGAGAAATCATCATCAGCTATATCAACGTCAGGGATCATTCAATTGAGCCGTGATAACATTGTCATTATCCCTAACCCCCAGCCACCACTCAGGACAACCTGGATGACAAACTGAGGAAGTTTGAGATCCGAGACATGATGGGCCTGACAGATGACCGGGACATCTCTGAGACTGTGAGTGAGACCTGGAGCACAGACGTGCTGGGCAGCGACTTTGACCCCAACATGGACGAAGATAGACTGCAGGAAATAGCTGGTAAGACATACAGTACAAGTCAAAAGTTTGGACACACCTACTCATTCCAGGGTTTTTCTTTATTTTTCCGATTTTCTACATTGTAGAATAATAGTGAAGACATCAAAACTATGAAATAACACATATGGAATCATGTAGTAACCAAAAAAGTGTTAAACAAATCAAAATATATTTTATATTTGAGATTCTTCGAAGTTGCCACCCTTTGCCTTGATGACAGCTTTGCACACTCTTGGCATTCTCTCAACCAGCTTCATGTGGTACTCACCTGGAATGCATTTCAATTAACAGCTGTGCCTTGTTAAAAGTTAATTTGTGAATTTAACTTTAATTTCTCTACGATAAGCCGCCTCCAACGTCATTTTAGAGAATTTGGCGGTATGTCCAACCGGCCTCACAACCGCAAACCACGTTTATGCCGTCGTGTGGGCGAGGGGTTTGCTGATGTCAGTGTTATGAACAGGGTACCCCATTGTGGTGGTGGGGTTATGGTATGGGCAGGCTACGGACAATGAATGCAATTGCATTTTATCGATGGCAATTTGAATGGACAGAAATACCGTTATGAGATCCTGAGGCCCATTGTTAGGTACCTGTGACCAACAGATGCATATCTGTATTCCCAGTCATGTGAAATCCATAGATTAGGGCCTAATACATTTATTTCAATTGACTGATTTCCTCATATGAACTGTAGCTCAGTAAAATCTTTGAAATTGTTGCATTTATATTTTTGTTCAGTATACATCAGAAAATGTAGCACAATACTGTCATCTTGTGGTGTGTTGGAAACAGCATGGTATGGCTTCCTCTCCATAAGCAGGCCTGCACTGTAAAGCACCCTTGAGGACTTATCATTGCTATTTATTTTTAAAACTTTTTTCAGTGATGTTTGGATGGGTGTTCTCTTGATTGAGGTCACTCTCTTGAATGCCCTTTTTGAAGTTTAGCTATGGGTAGATAGTTATATGTGGGTAGAAAATGGGCACGTCGGGCTCAATCCCAACTTAAGATCCTTATGCATAACTAGAATTTTCCCATTGAAACATTGATGCATGATTTCAATGAAAGTATGAGTTCCATGTGTGCAGCTCATCATTATATCTGCAATTCATCTAGCTTGTATTTCTTAGATGTTTTTTTTTTTGTAATAGTTTTTTAAATAGTTCCATTCAATGTAGTCTGTGGTCACATTATTCTGGAGCCTCCCACCTATTTAGCTAATTGTTAAAGTAAGGACAACCTTTAATGTTCTTTAAAGGCGTCTGAGTGCATCCCAGCCGAAACAGTTCAGTAGAGTTTGTGCATATATTATGATGACATTTTGGACTTCGGTGAGGGTTTTTTCGGTTGTTCGGGCACACAAAACATTTTCTGGAGGCAAGCCGAAGTTCGTAGTCAAAGTCTACGCCCCTTCGTCGGTGATTGGGCAACAATAGGGATTCTTCAATAAAGTCTTTGTTGTCATTCAGTGAGGGACAACTCGTTTTCATGCACATTTTCTCATTGAAAAATACTGCACCAAACATATTAGTTAGATGTAAATTTGCGCAACTAAGATTTTATCTGGCAAAAACGTCTGAATTAATGACAGATTTCTTGAGTTATCTTAGATGGATTCTGACTATTTGGGGAAGTGGCTACGGCATCTCAGTCTCTGCAGTCTTATTGACCTTGGTTCCTTCTCATTAGCATCCACCATTTTTCATTCCTCGGAATATGGCGTTGGGGGACTTTTCCATCATTAAGTGAATTTACAACGGTTTCCTTATGTGTTTTCTCCAAGGGATTGGGTTATGAGATGCACATTAAATATCCATTAATACCTCATTATCCCACTGATAAGATTACCATGATAATGAGGCAGACATTCTAATTGTTTCACTTCTTGTTGTGCCACTCATTTAATCATCCACCTGAAAGACAAGTGCTCTGCGCCCCTACCTTGGAAGACTGTAAACATGGACAACAGGGTAGAGCTCTCCTGCCGCTAGAAAGGGCCCTGCCCCCGCCTCGCAGACTGTTGCCTGGGCACTGGCACGCTCGCGCGCCCATGGTGTGTGTGTGTGTGTGTGTGTGCCGTGAAGTGGAAACATGGCGTACCTGGGAGTGTGGCTACCACGGGTCGACTCATGATCCGCACCCCGGCCACCATACTCACACCTGCTAGCTCTTTCCTCTCCTCCGCATTCTTCCGCCTTGTTAACCTGCCGCAGCATCCCAAATGGAAATGGAGGGACGTCGTGTGGAGGACTTTGTGGGAGGGTGGGTGAGGGGTAATTTGGTTGTGAATAATGCCCGACTTAATCAACAGCTCAAAGTCATGGCTCAGGAGGCGGGGGTGGGGTGAAATATTACCATTGGCACAGTAGTGTGTGTGCCTTTGGGCCCAGCATGAAATGCCAGTGACCCCAGGCTCTCTCTCTGTGTCTGTCTGTGCGTGTTTGCTCAGGGGCGGCTGTAGAGAACATGCTGGGCAGCCTGCTGTGTCTACCAGGCTCCGGCTCAGTGCTGCTAGACCCCTATGGATCCACCATCTCAGAGACCACCAGCGAGGCCTGGAGTGTGGAGGTCCTGCCCAGCGACTCAGGTGGGTTCAGTGTGGAGAAGGGGTTATAGGGGCTGAATGGAGTCTCCTGTCAATTTCACAACTTTCTACACAAATTTCCCATGAGTTTCTATGTAGATTTATTTTCTTGTCTTCCTCCATGCATTGCATCTGCCTGAGTCAATCCAGTAGGTTTGTGTACTGTATGAATCTCCGTGTGTGGGCGGACATGCCAGGTGTGGCGTCTCCCAGTTCCATATCAAGGAAGTGGGTGCAATCTGTCATGTTTGTGTGCACTAGCCTGTCTATCAGGGCAGATCTGCCTGTGACAGTAAAAGGCAGCTCTGGGTTTCCCCAGAGGAACCTCCCAGGTGTGTTTGCACCTGTAGTGGAGGAACAGCCATGAGGAAATGTGCAAGGACTGCAGTTGTCTGCTGGCGACATCCTCTCTCAAATCTGTAGGCATTGCAACACTCTTCTGACAGTGGTGTGAATGTGGTCCCATTGCAGCAATTACAAACCATACCTTAAGATGAACAGCAAGAATCATATCAATCTTACACTGTCTGTTCTTTAGTTAAGGTACGTAAACCCTTATGTTAGATTACGTTAATCCCCTTGAAAGTCAGTGTTTCATGAATATCAGTAGAGTCCTCTAATAAAAGCATAACTAGTGTTTCTTGGGAATGCCCGGACTGTTAATTGAAGTGCACCATTGCAATATGTGCAGTGTTAAATTGACATGCATGAGTGTCTTGATTACTTTTTGTTCCGTTTGCTGCCCCTGTTCTCCTCTGTAATAGGGCTATCTGATGCTCGCTTGGAGTTGAGCGCTTATTTCATGGCTAGGCAGCAGAAAACCACACTCCAAAGAGCACTTCACTAGCACATTATTACTAATGAGCATGCAAATGACTACGGCTGTTACTATGGAGCCTCTGGGTTAAGCTGAACAGCTCCATTGGGCAGCCACAAAATGGTCTGGATTCGACTTTTCGTTTTTCTCTTTATCAGTTGTAGATGGTTTATTTGCTTTCGTGCATATTAACTTTTCTTAGCTATTACTTTATCCTCCCAGCGAAGGGAGAGCAAACATACAACAAGGTATACAGTGGCTTTCATAGGCCTATTTTAGGCTGCATACTGTATGCAAGAACAAACCACATTGATTATATTGGGATGTGACTGTGCTGTGTGTGTGCCTCCCCCTCCAGAAGCCCCAGACCTGAAGCAGGAGGAACGTCTACAGGAGCTAGAGAGCTGCTCAGGGGTGGGCAGCACCTCCGATGACACAGAGGTCAGAGAGGTCAGCTCCCGGCCCAGCACCCCAGGGCTCAGCGTCGTCTCAGGTACCCTGCACCTATATCACTCATTGAAGCTATGCGGTTACACTCTACACATCAGCATTCATTACATATAAAACACATAGTGGGAAATCAAATAAAAGCAACCTAACCAGTCAGTTACATAGAATATATGCAGGCTAGTTTAAAACCATATTGGGAGTTGTCTGTGTTAGTTGGAGAACCGTCAGATAATGCTAAATAGCCAGGACAATCAGGTCGGTGTGAGAGAGTGGATAGGACACAGAGGTTAACCCTGGCACTCTGTACTGGTAGCTCAGGTGAACAGGCCGTGTTGACATGGTTGCCGTAGCATCCCAGATTAAGAGGACTGGGCTGGTGCCCACGGCTGAGCTCCTATAGGAAAATGTCCCGGAGGGGCCGGGCCGATGGATAGGCTCTGTCTGATTATCACTCTTATTGCAGCTCTCTGTGTCTCCCTCCCCACCCATGGGAGCTCCTGCTACCATATTTAGAGGTCCCAGTGGGTCCATTTGTCATATCCTCTCAATACAGTGTGTACGCTGTCATGCTGTTACCTTTCAAATGTCACACATTCAATCCCTCAGAATAGGAGGTAGTCAGCCAAACCAAGTGTTCCACCAAATGTTACCATCTCCTGCATGGCAGACTTTTGAACAGACATTTCTTCTTCTGCAGCGACATCAGAAGACATCCCCAACAAAACAGAAGACCTGCGGTCGGAGTGCAGCTCAGACTTTGGGGGGAAGGACTCTGTGACCAGTCCAGATGGGGAGGAGTCGTCCCACGGTAGGAGAGAGGGAAGAGTCACCTCCCCCCTGGCCTGGGTGTGCCATCACTACACTGTCATCAGCAAGACCTATCAATCCCTGTCTGCTCTACAGCTGAGCAGCCACAACCACTAACATGCTGCTGACCCTGTTGGAATCTTTCTGCTATGTTTTCAGACCATATTGCTCAAATACAAAGCATGGGTACATGATGATGATGATGTTAACTCTCTTCGATAATACAAAGCACAGAATAGCCATGAACAATTATAGTAGAAAGTGGCTCTCTGTTTAGTGTATGAATGTCTTTCTTAATTCTCAATTTCCCCGCTTGTTGTTTCAGGAGCACATCACAGTTTGGCCTCTCCTCCCTCTCAGGCAGACTCCTTACTGGCCATGTTCGATCCCCTCTCCTCCGGCGAAGGTAATTTCTGCTCCCACAATGCTCTGGGGTCTTTGCTGCGTCGAGTGTCCAATCAGACCTGGAAATGAGCATCATTAAGTCGTGTCTAATGGCGTGGGCTCACAGAACAGCTTGAGCTCTGAGAAATTAACCAAAAGAGTCTTGCCCCAATTATTGGACAAAACATTAGTGCAATAAAAATGTCTACTGCGTGGGAATGTCATTTCAATTAGTTAATTTAGTTTATAATATTTCCTTTGTGGTTTGCTCTTTGTTCTCTCTGCTCTTGGTAAATTGTGGCCCTGTCTTGCTCAGTGTTGTTGTGAGTGGAGGAGGAGATGGCTGGAGAGGGAGGGAGCTATGGCAGTGGCAGGGCTGTGTGTCTGTGGCAAGGTGAGGGGATGACAGGTTGAGAGACCTCACCCCAGGCACTTTGGCACAGTCCCCTTGTCCCACTGTGCTCATGGCACCAGGCTGCCATTGGAAGCGTTTCAGGAGAGAGAATCTACCCTTGGAACAGGTGGCCTACCCACACCTAGGGCTTGTCTCCCACCAACCTCTCTCTCTCTAGCACTTTCCCCCACTTCCTCATTTTATTGCTGTTCTTTTGTTTCTGGACACTGGGTAATTGAGAGAGTGTGATACACCCCTATGTATTAAGCTGTATAACCAAACTAAGCCATGTTTTTTTGTCTTCCACAGATTCCTCCACTGGTACCATCGTGAGGCCCAAGGTGCACTGCGCCAGGCCCCTCCATCCTCCCCCTGACCCTCCCATCCCAGAGGCCTGTGCCCTGGGCCAAGAGCCCCGCCACTCCCTGTTCACGCCCCACTGCCTGGCCCAAGCCGAGCTGGAGCACACCAAGCAGCGCCACTCCTTCCCAGACAGGCTGGTACGCAGCCGCAGCTCTGACATTGTGTGCCCAGGACGCCGGCCCACCAGCGACCCGGGCCTCAACCGCAGGGCTGCAGCCGAGGAGCGGGACCCTGCCGGGGCCTTCTTTATGGGGCCGTTCTCGTCTCCTAGCAAGGACTCCCTGAAAGGAGAGGTGAGAGCTGCTGGTCATCGCTGCCTGTGTGTCACGTCAGTCATGTATGCTGCTCTCCAAGCCTAGTTTTAGACCTACTGCTCTATAACAATAGTCTAAGTATGAACTCTACTGTAAGACTTTCTTTCCTGTCCTACCGTACAGTATGTCACTATGGATTCTAAAACATACTTGAATGTCTGTTTTCCAAAGGTTGAGGAGAGAAAGGACAGTGATGAGGAAAAGTCAGATCGCAACAGACCGTGGTGGAAGAAACGCTTTCAGTCAGCCATTCCCAAAGGTAAGGAATCACTTCTACAACTACTCTCTTCCCCCTCCATCACTGTGTCATTTTGGCATGCTGTCTGTTGCAACAAATGCTTTTAGTGGGTTGAACATTTTGACAATTTGTTAGAGAATTGCATGGTTCCTGTGTTCGTACATTATTTTCACTCTTTCATGATCATCTCTTAATCACATCTGTTGCAGAAAATGTAGAAGTGTTTAAGACCTGTACTTTAACTGTTTGTAATGTGAGAAAGAGAAGGATGATGCGTCATCACTCCACTTCAAATACTGTTTGTTGTTGTTGAAAGTTACACCAGACAAGTCTTTTCTCACATCTCACTTGCGCTAGATTTATTTTTAGTTTGTAAAACGAATCAGTCATGAGCGGGTGTAGATTGTGCGGTGGTACCCCTCCCAGCAGTCCTGTCACCCCCAGCCTAATGGTCATTAGATAGACCTCTCTGTCATCACCGCTGATAGATTACACATCTCTTGTTGCAGTTAAACTCCAAAACCATCTCTCATAGAAGTGTCAGGAAAAGAATGAGCTGTGCCTACAAGAGATGACTGTGTATTACTCTTTTAGATAATGATGTTCCTTTAGTCAAAATTAACATTTGATGAATAAAGCCAGATCTGCACAGATAAGTGTAAACTTGTGAAGTCCACATAAAGGCCCTTCTGTTGGCCTGGCCTTGCTGCTGTTGTGCTGTGAATACCATGGTGATGTGTAGCCCCTCATACAGAGTGGCAGCCAGGCAGACTGAGTGAGTGAAAGGCCAACCTTGTCTGTTGTGTTCCTCACACAGTGCTGTATTGGACGGCTGAGAGTGAAGTCCCAGGTAACACGTCCCAACACTGTAACTGTCACCATTGAGCTAGCTGCCCTGACGCCAGTGGCTGAGTGCTGTAGGTCATGACGCTTGTAGACGTGGCCCTTGGTGATAAAGCTGTGATGTGACATGGTGCCGCCTGAGTTGATGTCTCCGGCTCATCATTCATGCATTTGTGTTGGGTGTTTCCGTTTTTCTTTTTGCACTGTACTGTAATGTTTGCGATACAACATTGTGAGCCAATGTTAGTGGAGCGCACAGAATGGCAACCCATTTAGTCTAATCATTGCTAGTCCTCTCTCCACATTCTCTCTCTTTTAAATATCAGTCCTGTAGGATACGTCTGTTATCTGGACACAGATCCCCTGTTTGTCTAGTTGACACATTAATAGAATGAGCCTCACCTGCTTATTTGCAGAAATACACTGCTCAAAAAAATAAAGGGAACACTTAAACAACACATCCTAGATCTGAATGAATGAAATAATCTTATTAAATACTTTTTTCTTTACATAGTTGAATGTGCTGACAACAAAATCACACAAAAATTATCAATGGAAATCAAATGTATCAACCCATGGAGGTCTGGATTTGGAGTCGCCCTCAAAATTAAAGTGGAAAACCACACTACAGGCTGATCCAACTTTGATGTAATGTCCTTAAAACAAGTCAAAATGAGGCTCAGTAGTGTGTGTGGCCTCCACGTGCCTGTATGACCTCCCTACAACGCCTGGGCATGCTCCTGATGAGGTGGCGGATGGTCTCCTGAGGGATCTCCTCCCAGACCTGGACTAAAGCATCCGCCAACTCCTGGACAGTCTGTGGTGCAACGTGGCGTTGGTGGATGGAGCGAGACATGATGTCCCAGATATGCTCAATTGGATTCAGGTCTGGGGAACGGGCGGGCCAGTCCATAGCATCAATGCCTTCCTCTTGCAGGAACTGCTGCCACACTCCAGCCACATGAGGTCTAGCATTGTCTTGCATTAGGAGGAACCCAGGGCCAACCGCACCAGCATATGGTCTCACAAGGGGTCTGAGGATCTCATCTCGGTACCTAATGGCAGTCAGGCTACCTCTGGCGAGCACATGGAGGGCTGTGCGGCCCCCCAAAGAAATGCCACCCCACACCATGACTGACCCACCGCCAAACCGGTCATGCTGGAGGATGTTGCAGGCAGCAGAACGTTCTCCACGGCGTCTCCAGACTCTGTCACGTCTGTCACATGTGCTCAGTGTGAACCTGCTTTCATCTGTGAAGAGCACAGGGCGCCAGTGGCGAATTTGCCAATCTTGGTGTTCTCTGGCAAATGCCAAACGTCCTGCACGGTGTTGGGCTGTAAGCACAACCCCCACCTGTGGATGTCGGGCCCTCATACCACCCTCATGGAGTCTGTTTCTGACCGTTTGAGCAGACACATGCACATTTGTGGCCTGCTGGAGGTCATTCTGCAGGGCTCTAGCAGTGCTCCTCCTGCTCCTCCTTGCACAAAGGCGGAGGTAGCGGTCCTGCTGCTGGGTTGTTGCCCTCCTACGGCCTCCTCCACGTCTCCTGATGTACTGGCCTGTCTCCTGGTAGCGCCTCCATGCTCTGGACACTACGCTGACAGACACAGCAAACCTTCTTGCCACAGCTCGCATTGATGTGCCATCCTGGATGAGCTGCACTACCTGAGCCACTTGTGTGGGTTGTAGACTCCGTCTCATGCTACCACTAGAGTGAAAGCACCGCCAGCATTCAAAAGTGACCAAAACATCAGCCAGGAAGCATAGGAACTGAGAAGTGGTCTGTGGTCACCACCTGCAGAACCACTTCTTTATTGGGGGTGTCTTGCTAATTGCCTATAATTTCCACCTGTTGTCTATTCAATTTGCACAACACCATGTGACATCTATTGTCAATCAGTGTTGCTTCCTAAGTGGACAGTTTGATTTCACAGAAGTATGATTGACTTGGAGTTACATTGTGTTGTTTAAGTGTTCCCTTTATTTTTTTGAGCAGTGTATATACACTTACTGTATATATTGATCTTTTATCATGTGTATATATATCTAAGTGATATTATTTCTCCATTGCGGTCTGGCAGTCACATTATTTCAGCCATGTTGGTTTTATTTACCATTTGCTATTCCTTTGCTATTATCATGCATTAAGAAGATGGATAATTCTCCTTCGTTTTGTTCAGTGATATGACGCTATGCTACAGTATGCATCTCTCCTCTGCATTGTTAGTCAAAAAATACCTTGTATAAACCACAGTAGATTTGTGAAACACCTGCTGTCACTGCTGTCATGAAACACTGCTGTGTGAAGTGAGTCATGATGAGACTGTGGTCCAGAAACGGTGAGAGGAGAGCGTAGCTGCACTTTTCCTAGCTCATTCATTATGCCCTCTCCACAGCTCCGATAGCAGCCTTCCGGAAAAGGGACAAGCAGGAGAAAGACGATATGGGCCATGAACGTGTCCTACAAGGTCTGTCCTGATTTACTGTCGTTACACTCAGATATTGCTGAATCAGGGGGAAAGGAAGTGGGCATGTTTCCCATGGTGGGTTTAATCCAAATGTGTCCTTTGTGTGTGGTGTTTCGTGTGTGTGTCAGACGACCCTATGTCCAGGACCTCCCAGGCCCAGGCAGCAGAAGACATCCTTGACAAGTACAGGAATATCAAGAGGACCAGTCCCAGTGAAGGAGCCACTGCTGCAGTCTACGACACCACAGGTCAGTGTCTTTCTCACTCAGGTACACCCACACACACACGTCAAATTAATTTGAGCGTGTGAATGTGTTGTGCACAGAGTTGTTTGGAGAGGAGTGTGTGCATGACTCCCCCAGAGACGAAGCTCTGCAGAACATGTCCACAGACGACCTGCCAGACTCAGCCAGCCAGACGGCCCAGCAACACCACTCCTTCAAGTTCTCATTCAGGTCAGTCAACCCTCACCAACTCACACAAATCACACCGCTAGGATTATGATAATAGTAATTATAATATCTTTGTTTATTCATCAGATTTCAGGCAATGCTTAATTAGCCAGAAGTGCTTCAGAGGCATACAAAATGACAAAAGACAGAGTGATAACAGACTGTCAAACCAAATCTACATTTGGCAATTTTTTGCTCATATTTTGCAGTGATGCAAAGAAGAAGTTGAGACTGGCCTTGTGTTCAGCAGAGTCTGTGGCCTTCCCCCTCATGGCTCCTGCCACCACACGCAATGGGCTGCCTGACCACACAGACTCTGAAGGTACCAAACATACAGCTGACAAGCTGGTAAAAAATCACTGGTAATCTGTTGTGCAAACTATCATCACTGTCCATATTATATCTGGCCACAATCATTCCTGTAAGTAAGCCAGCCCACTACACGTTTACCAGCAGGACACGACCACACACAATAGAAAGTGACATCCTTTGAAATGGTTACGTTTGAAATCCATAAGACACAGTCTCTGTAGTCATCAGTCACATCCACATGTCAGGGGGGAGCAGGGCAGGCTGATCTGATTACAGCAGCAGCCCTTCTCCCAGCGTCTGAGTGTCTGACCTACCGCCGTCTCCCTCCCGTCTCCTTCTCAGACAACGAGATCGTGTGCTTCCTGAAGGTCCAGCTGGCGGAGGCCATCATTCTGCAGGACAAGAACCAGATGGCCCAGATCCAGGAGACCACACGCTGCGTCAGCCGCTTCGACGCACGCACCTGCAGGAAGCTGCTGGCAGCCATTGTTGAGGATTACAGGTAACTGTGGAGGAAGACAGACATGCTGCCGAAGGACCATCACTGCACATTCACTGCTTCTACTGCAAGGACATAGTTCTGTGGCATAGTTGATTGTATTGTTTTGTTTAAAATAGATGTATGTAGGTCTATTTGAAGGGATAAAATCAACATTTTGGTAGGCTGTCACTGAATGTTGTGAGTACTGACTTATTTCAGTGGTATTATCTCATATCAACATCATTTTGTCACTGTCACTGAACACAACTGTTAGTAAGCATAATCCATAATGCCTGTGTGTGTGTCCGTCGTCCCCTTTGGTAGGAAACGGGCACCCTACATTGCGTATCTGACTCGGTGTCGGCAAGGCCTGCAGACATCCCATGCCCACCTGGAGAGGCTGCTGCAGAGGGTGCTGAGGGACAAGGAGGTGGCTAACCGATACTTCACAACAGTCTGTGTTCGCCTCCTACTGGAACACATGGAGGCTAAGTCGTTGGACTTCATCAAAGGTCTCTGCCGCTTATTACTGATACACCCCCTGTGATATTGTAACCATGTATCTACTGATGTTGTCTCTGCTAGATGATTGTTCTCTGAATGGCCATAGTATGGAATTAAAAATACAGACACTGAAATTCAACCTAACTACCTGCACCACATTGCAGTGCTTCAATCTGTAACCTCTCTAAAATACTGTAAGTGCCCAGTGTGTCTGTATCTCAGGTTCCTCCCCCAGCCTTCCAGGGGTGCATAGTGCTCAGTGTATCTGTCTCTGGTCTCCCCCCCCCCCCCCCCCCCCAGCCTTCCAGGGGTGCATAGTGCTCAGTGAGTCTGTCTCTGGTCTCCTCCCCCCCCAGCCTTCCAGGGGTGTATAGTGCTCAGTGTGTCTGTCTCTCGTCTCCTCCCCCCCCAGCCTTCCAGGGGTGCACAGCGTCAGACGACAAGACTGCGGCGGTTGAGGACTTCCTGCGCTACCTATACGGGGCCATGGCCCATGATGCCATCTGGCAGTACGCCAGTGAGGATCAGCTGCAGGATGCCCAGATGGCCATCGAGCGCAGCGTCATGAACCGCATCTTCAAGCTGGCCTTTTACCCCAACCAGGACGGGGACATTCTGAGAGACCAGTGAGTGACGGTGACTGCCGCCACCTCACCTCGGTCAAACAGCCCCAGCCTTGGTGTGGCTGCTGCCCCTCATGCCTCATGCTATCAAATAACCCAGAATCCTCTCCTCCTCTGATGCTACTGTAGCAGCAGTATCTTTTACATATTTGAATAACCAATACCCTGTATTGCTATGGTATGTGTTTATCTTAGGCTACTGTATCTATTGCTCTCTAAATCCGTTTTCCCTCTCTAGGCTTCTTCAGGACCACATAGTGCGTCTCTCAAAAGTGGTGACATCAAATCACAAAGCTCTTCAAATCCCAGAGGTAATGCCCCACAGATTTGTATCCCCCAACTGTCCATCAAAGTCTGAGATGTTTAGTTTTGTGTTGATGTTTAGGAGCTCTACAGAGTTGACATGCTGAATGCTTTTTCCTGTGTGGCTCCAGGTGTATGCGAGGGAGGCTCCCTGGCCATCTGCCCAGTCAGAGATCCGGACCATCAGTGCCTACAAGACCCCTCGGGACAAAGTGCAGTGTATTTTACGCATGTGTTCCACCATCATGAACCTCCTGAGTCTGGCCAATGAGGACTCTGTCCCCGGAGCTGATGATTTTGTCCCTGTGCTCGTCTTTGTCCTGATAAAGGTGAGCATCCATCGCAAACTGATATCAAGTTACTCTGAGATGTTTACATCAACATCATATTCACTTTAGGTAATGAAAATTGATACCTCATTAAACCTTATCTTTAATTTCACTAAAATGGTTAGTGAAATGATAGGCCTTGCTAGAAGTATGACCCTAGTCTCCTTATAATGCAGAGGGAGAAACGGAATCCTTAGCAGATGTTCTAACAATCCTTTCTCACCTAGACAGCTGTATAGTAAATGTGTAGTAGCATAAAGATCTTGCTGTATGATAACTTGTATGGACATATTTAGATAGGGCATGTATTATACATGGCCTGGCGTGTGGCTCTCTCCGTGGTTACTGTGAGCCCCCTCCCTCCAGGCAAACCCGCCTTGCCTGCTGTCCACGATTCAGTACATCAATAATTTCTATGCCAGCCGGCTGAGTGGGGAGGAGTGCTATTGGTGGATGCAGTTCACCGCGGCAGTGGAATTCATTAAGACCATCGACGATCGCAAGTGAAGCAGAACAGCCACCTGTATGGGCAGAAGGAGACGGGACTGGGAGACTTCCCAACCAACTGCTCCCTCTCCCTCTCCCTCTGCTTCCCACTTCCACAAGGACTCAGGCCCACACCCTGTCTGTCTGCTCTCTGTTTATATAGCTGTACATAGAGTCAGAGACTGAGAGTATATATAATTATGAAGTGGGCAAAATCCAGGTTTTACAGTGGAGAAAAAGGCCTTGGAAAAATGGCAGATGTTAACTTTGAACTTAAACTAATTTGAATTTTTTCCTTTCATCTCTTGGTCTCCTTACACATGGTGAGGTGTGGGGGTCTGTATCTGAAATGTTCTCTTAAGTTATGATTCTGCCATTAAATTGACTGGTAAAAGCTTCTAATCAGATGAAAGGGGACCATGTTTCCTAGAGATGATCTCAGATATATGTTGTGGCAGGGGACTTCATGAAGGTGAGGGAAGTGCTTCCTTGTTAAATTGTGCAATCTTTCCCCTGAAATACTTATGCTCTTCAGATGCATCGTATCCTGGGGAATCACAAAACTCAATAGATACTGACTGAGTATTAGTGACTCAAGTACATTATAAGATCAATCCATAATAATAATGCTAGTGTTTCTATTTTTAACGCTAACACATCAATAATAGGGTAGCTTTTTTCATCAAATGTAAACAAATGGATTCATTATTCAGTTTATCCTTTCCTAAATACTTGTGGCAATTTGGACACAAGGGCCCACATATTTATATATGAAATAAAATGTATTTATTTATTTCATTCTATTTAATGCTTTTTTCTTCTTTTTTTTCTATAAATCACATATGCCCATGTAGGAAATGTTCAAGCATGTGTAAGGATTGAGATATTTTAATAGTGTTAGGAGGACAAGGGGCAGCGTTGTCCTTGGACTGAAAAGCCCCCAGGATGAGATGTTGGCTGTTTGCTGCAGCTTAGATACAGGATCACCACTGATCAGCTCCTGCACAGTATCAGTAGCACTGCTTTTTTGGAAATACTGAACATTAGTGCCTTGAGGAGGGGGCGTTTTGTGTAAGGCTGTTCGTTTTCTTTATATTCTTGAGAATGAGGGTTCTGCTCTTGGTTTTCCATAAAGGATTGACATTACTCTCCCATCCCATTATCACCATTGAGCCCCACAGCCTGTCTCTCTGAGAAACCTCTGTGCTGGGAGTGACCTCTCAGGAGGACAGGCTGTGTGTGGAACACCACTGGTTGTTTCAGTTAATTCCCTTTGCACTAATTTCCTTCTCATTACCGTTATGCCCTTGAATATCCAAGATTCTACCTCAAAGTTAGAACCAATGAACCTGACATTTATTTTTGGGCACAACGCTTTTTAACATTGGTTGGATAGAAAGAGTAATGGAACAGGTATTCACTGTTCAAGGGGCTGCTATAGCATCATCTTCCCCTAATACAATGAGGCATACTAGTATGTACTATTTATATTTTAGGCGCGTTAAAGTAACCATTTGTATAACAAGGTAGTAAAGCATTTCCAAACGAACAAAGTTGGGTATTTCTGTAGAATGCATGTATGTTTCAGCATAGAGCAGACAGACTAGTGATTTGGATTAGCTCTCTACCTCCTCACATGATCAAGAAAGGGACTCTTTAAATGTGTACGCACGCTTGTATTATTTTATTTCTTTTTCCATTTTAGAGTGCAGGGATATTCCAGTTTCATCATTTTCTTCCACTTACAGCCAAAGTCACCAAAACTCAACTCCTGTTGTGTTTTCATTGCAGCTACAAAAGGAACACATCCCCATATGTTTGTTAGCATTGTGCCAAGTGTTTTGTCTTATTTAATGTCTAAATGACTGCTTTCATATCACAGCACAACAAAAATAACAAATAATCAGAACACTGACATGTTACTGACCGTTGGAAAAAGGCTGTGTTGCGTGTGAGAGGTTTGTACATTGAATGTGTGAGAGGTTGGTCTGTTAGACTGCGACTGATCTGTCCTCTTGCACAATGTTTTAGGATGGTCTTCTTACTGTAGCTACAGTACTACTCGACGAGCAGTAAATCCTTGCTGGTGAAAAACCTATACAATACTTCTAGTTTCCAACTCAGGCCAGGTATGAAAGGGTTGAGAAGAATGAGGCTGTGTTTTCTTTTGAGTCTGTCCCTGATGTCATTCCTTTTTCAATGTTCAGAGCTGTACAAGGTTAGTGAAGCTTGCTCCCTACGTTCTACATGCAGAACATTTGACATGTTTTCTACTTCCCTGCTCGTTATTAATGAGTCGCACTCATTTGAACTAAAGCCTCTGATATTAAAATGCTGTAATTGATAAGATTATATGGGTAGTTTAGCTAGGTCTTACTGTTAGTTATAAGGACACACATTTATAAGCAATCTCTAAAGTTGTGATATGTTCGTTTTTTCTCCCTATTCCCGGACTTCTGTTCCTGGTTTTTGAGGAATATGTGTGTACAGCATCTACCGTTTTTAAATACAATTCTGCAAAATAGATGATACTGCTGTCTAACCTGTTTGAAAACACAAAATGCAGATAAACTGTATCTATAAGTGTTTGTGTGATGTCACTTTAGCGGTACAGTACAGACCAAATGTGAAACAATCTGGACCTGACTAGTGTTTCAATGTTCCCTTATACATATCAGTGACACTTTTTAATAGCTACAAAAACTACAACCAGCCTTAGTGTCTGACCTGAGTGATACTGTTCATACACAGTGACAGAATACCTCTTATTGTGAAGTTAAAGTACACACCCTAACAGTGAGAAGTCTGTACTATAGCCTGATTTTAGCATTGATTGTATGCAAACAAGTGGACAGTTGGTGGACTAAAAGAGACTTGACTATGGAAATCTGGTCTTTAAAGCTTTACAATCCTCCCTGTGCTCGGGTCCCTGACAGAGTAGGCAGAACGAGCAGAACATAATACATTTCACATTTGTAAGCTTGCACAATTATGTCATGTGGAGGGGAAGGCGGTCTGTCTTTAATGTGATTTAATGTATTATATAATTCTTTAAAACAATAAAACAGTCATTTCTCTGTGACTCAGTATCCTGTTATTTGTGTGCATGCAAGTATAGTGGCTCTCTTATGGCGGGAGGGATGGTGTATGCTATAGCTTAGTCTCATTGTGCAATTTCATATCATGCTGTGGGAGATATACTGTAGCTTTAATTCAGGTTTAGCTTCAGAGAAATTCAGGCTGCACAATAGATGGTACATGTTGACTGTATTTTTGCGTGGAACATAATTGTTGGAGAGGGCAATAGAGCAAGATCATCCTATCTCGGCAGCGCCACATATAGCAACCTCTCACCAAACATTTAATTACTACTGACAAGTGTATGGCAGATTTGTAATTGGAGATTTCCCTCATCTAAAAGCTCCAATCACTTCACCCATAGCCTTCTCAGTAATTTTTCTTACAAAAAAGTCCTTGGTGGACTTGACTTGCATCTCCTGATGAAATCTCCCAATTGTTAATTTAAATTCAAATTTTCTGTGCAGTTAATTAGTTGGATTAATAAACCAATGGCTGAATTTGCCTGGTTTGGAGATTGGATCTTTTGTTTATATGATACTCTGTTGATTTCAGATACATGGAGAATGAGGTCTTTGTTTCCCCAATCTCTGCTTGTCCATGATCCCAATGTGATCATATCCTGCGTTACACAGCTCTGGCTGTATGGGCAACAGCTATGTTTCATTATATACTATATTTCTGTTTAAGTTTGATGCAAAAGATGCTTGCTGTTTTATTGATTGAGGGATGAAGTGGAGAAAATGTGGACTGGGCTTCTCTGATTCAACTCGTTTCATATTGATGTCAGATTGTTGCATGAGGATATAAACAGCCCTGGGGCCTGGCACAGATGGCTCTGGAATAACAGATGATCAGTCCAGCGGGGCTTGTGCATGACTTCACACACACTGGTCTGCACCAAACAACACCGTTGACTCTGGGGGAACCATGGAATTGCCATATATCTCCTCTCGCTCGCTCCTCCACTATATTACCTTGAGTAATTAAATGCTAAATGTGTTACAGGTCTATAGAAAACAGTCCTGAGGTACTGACCTGTTGCACCCTCTACAACCACTGTGATTATTATTTGACCATGCTGGTCATCTATGAACGTTTGAACATCTTGAAGAACAATCTGGCATTAATGGCCATGTACTCTTGTCTCCACCTGGCACAGCCAGAAGAGGACTGGCCACCCTTCTGAGCCTGGTTCCTGCCTTTCTAGGGAGTTTTCCTAGCCACCGTGCTTCTACATCTGCATTGCTTGCTGTTTGGGGTTTTAGGCTGGGTTTCTGTATAAGTACTTTGTGACATCTGTAGATGTAAAAAGGGCTTTATAAATACATTTGATTACCACAATTTATCTACACTGAGCGTACAAAACATTAGGAACACCTTCCTAATATTGAGTTGCACCCCCTTTTGCCCTCAGAACAGCCTCAATTCGTCGGGGGGCATAGACTCTATAATGTGTCGAAAGCGTTCCACAGGTATGCTGGCCCCAGTGTTGCCAACTAATTTTCAGGGGAAGTTGCTAGAGGCAGTTCGATTTGTTGCTAAATGACAAAATGTAATTGCGTGATGGCGTCATAACATAGAATACATTTACATTTTAGTCATTTAGCAGACGCTCTTATCCAGAGCGACTTACAGTTACTGCATACATTTTCATACTGGCCCCCCGTGGGAATCGAACCCACAACTCTGTCGTTGCTCTACCAACTAAGCTACAGAGGGCCTAGCTAACGTTACTCAAATTGACTGGCCATCTCTGCGACAAATATATGATTTGACATTTGTTAGTTTAGATTTGTTTGTTTATTATCACATTTTAATTTGTAAAAGTAATATAAACACAACACGTTTTATATGATCAGATTATTTTTTTTTTTACACAACACATTGAATTATTGAACAATTACACATTGCACATTATTGAACAATTTGCATTTTATTTATTTTCTTATTAACTAGTAAACCTACACATTCTGAACAATTATAGTTTTAAGCAGTGTATTGGTAGTTAGTTAACATGCTACCTAACTGATCAACAATTATAGGTACAAGCTAAGTACAAAGTTCCCTGTAGCTCAGTTGGTAGAGCATGGCGCTTGCAACGCCAGGGTTGTGGGTTCGTTTCCCACGGGGGGCCAGTATGGAAAAATGTATGCAGTCGCTCTGGATAAGAGCGTCTGCTAAATGACTAAAATGTAAATGTATATAAGCTATCTTATTGAACAAGCAACTTAACTCAAATAATGATGTGTGCTCTAGGCATCGCTCTCCAGGTTGTTGTGCTGTTTGGCTGGCCTGTGCATGAGCTGAGCGCCTGCTGCTGACGTCACTCACAATGTACTTTTGCAGCCAGGTAGGTGTGTTGTGACAGAGAAAAACGTTTTTGTATCATTTAGAGGGAAATTTTTTTCATTTTAGCATTTGAGTCACTTTTCAAAAGATGCTAAAAGTTCCAAATAAATGTTTTTAAGTAGCTACATTTGTTGCTAGGTGCTGTTTAAAAAAAAAAGTTGCCAGGGTAGTCTGAAAAGTTGCTAAATCTAGCAACAAAATTGCTAAATTGGCATCACTCTTCGTGGTCCTCTGTAGCTCAGCT